TTATCGTCGGATTACTTAAGTCTTTATTGACTTTGTCATAGTATCTTTGTTTAGCAGATCTAATTAATTTTGTTGTTAAATTTCGTTGTCTACGATAGCTTTCCCATGAAAATTCATTTGGTCTATTATTGTGAAAACGAAGCAAACGGTTACGTTTGCGTATTGCTCGACGAACTTCGCCATTCATCCAAGGTTTATCCCCTGGCCTTATGGTAACAGTTTTAAGCGGAATATGCTTCTCAATTATTGAACGGAAATAGGAAAACCAAGTATTGTAAACAAAGTCAATATCAAAAGCGCTGTCAAAAAGAGAATACCAATTAGTTTGCAAGAGTTCCCTATTCAAAGCGGGGAAATCAACATTATTAAAATTCCAGACCTCTCGCTTGTAAGAATGGCATTTGAAACTTTGAACATTCATCATAGCAAAAACCACGGAATGATCACAGTTGGATGGAGGACTTAAAGTTCCGGTATTGGTAAAAAGGGCTGGATAATTTGTAATAACAAGGTCTAGAATTGAGGAACAATGGCTCGTGACTCGAGTTGGTTCTGTAATCAATTGCGTGAGATTATTTCCCTCTAGGAAACTGTGAAACTGGGTCCCTATACCAGTACTTTCCTGCGGGAAATTAACATTATAATGTGCATTAAAGTCACCAACAATTATTAAATTGAAATCTCTTGGTAGGTCACGTATCTTATCTGGTGATATTTGAAAATTACTGAGAAAAACATTAATTGAATTAAGATCATTGTTAGGCGGCCATACAAAGTGGTGCTGATTTAAAAAGTGGTGCTGATTTAATCGAAATTCTATCCAAAGAAGTTCAAACCCTACGATTTCAAGATCAGACCTTCGTTTTACAACAAGTGAATCGGACGTATAAATAGCAACGCCTCCGCCTACCCGTCCCTCTCTATCAAGACGAATAATTGTGTTGTATCCGGAAATAGCCAGAGAGTCACTAGAAATATGGTCATTGAGCCATGTTTCAGTTATCACAAAAATATCAAAATTATTCTCTCTAATTAAGAAAGAGATTTCTTCAAACTTATCACTTGAATTCAGACTTCTGGCATTGAGCTGACCTATTTTAAAAAATTGAACTGGGCCCGGGTTGAGTTGAACGTCATTAGATAAAATAATTAAAATACATGCAATAAACAACATCATAATGAAGTCGCCAACAAGAAACAAAAAGCTATGACCAGAGAAAGCAATTCCAATGACAAATAACTTACGGAGATTAAACATCCCGATTGCTGCTCTATAAGCTTCTAAACTAACCCCCATGAGACGAATCAAAATAAAGGGAGCTTACCTCATACTGCACACATACAAAGACAAAACAACAAAAATAGAAAAACAAGACAAACAAAAAAGCAAAATACACACTAAGTCTAAGGACTAAGAAACACACAACGAGAAAAATTGTTAGTAATTATAAAGTGTCTTCGGCATTTGGGTCCATATTTAAAAGCTAACTACGAGATGAAGCTTTTCCAAATCAGCAAGTCTATTAATTCTAATCGAATCATG